CGAATGAAAATATCGATTAAAAGAAAAAAATAGTGCATCCCTAGTTTGACCATCAGCACTTTGATAGTGCGCGGCGTCTTGTTGTCGGCGTCATGAAAGGTCGGATGACTGACCTGTCAAAGAAATTGTGCAGCTATTCGAAAGTACAAGGTCAAGGTGCCGGCGGGTACTATTGATATTGCATACAATCGTCGCCGCCGCGCCGCACGCACTACATTTGACACTGTTTGATTGCCGCCACAGAGTACATGTTCCAAACAATTAAATAAATTTACGGGTGCTCAGTGGACACGAATACGTTATGCTGATCTCGCAAGGAGTATTGTAATTAGATAATGGTAAGGATAGGTAGATATCATAAAAATTTATTCTAGTAAGTAATTACTATAACATTAACTATATGGGTTTATAATAATTACTTACTATTATTATTATTATTACCTAATAGATAAACATATTCAATAAGTTCACTGCAACTCTCGACCTTTGGAAGTGTGTGTTTTTAAAACACGAAGTGCTCGAATATATCGTCACCCATTTGATAAATATTGTAGATACTTTTAAATCACTTGAAATGTGTAAAAATGGATCTGGATCTTGTCTTCAAGGCATAGTTATTAAAGAGTTGGAGGAGTACCTAAGTAAACCCAGAGCCGCCAGCTCGGAAGACATTTTAGAGTGGTGGAGGACGCATGAGACAAAATATCCGATTTTATCGAAGATGGCCCTTGATTTTCTTTCAATACCTGCAACTTCAGTACCTGAGAGATTTAGAGAGATTATTTTCTAAAGCGTCATTAGTAATTAGAAAACATAGAAATAGGTTAAGTGATGAGTCAGCTAAATGGTTACTTTGTATTAACAGTAATGTCAAAGCTATTGTGTACTGTGAAGTAATTTAATTTGTGTCGTATTTTATTTTTTACTAGATGTTCCTCGCGACTTCGCCCGCGTGTTATTTGGGGTTTTAATTTTTTTTCCCGGAACCCAATTTCTTTTTCTTTTTCTAAAATAAAAGTAGCCTAAGTTACTCCTTGTGACATCACCTATCTGCCAATGAAAATCCCGTCAAAATCGGTCCAGCCGTTTAGGAGATTAGCCGCAACAAACAGACAGACAGACAGACAAAAAACTTTAAAAATTGTATTTTTGTTATTAGTACCGTATATACTTTCATATGCATTTAGTAAAAAGCTTGTAATATTGACATTACAAACAGACACTTCAATTTTATTTATTTGTATAGATTTAAATAAATGGTATATTGTATAACTCTTTTATTTCATTTCATATATGGTGAGGGTCCATCAATTTCTTTCTAGACAGATAATGTTCTTTAAAATACAGTAAAGTTATTGCTATTAATTTGTTTTTATATGTTTAACCATGTTTTAGCACATGTAAGCTTATTAAATGTAAACCTTTGTTAAGAAACAGACTGACGCCCTTGGCTGTGGGACACGGTAGATAGCTCAGTTGCTTAGAGCATCGGCACGGATCGCTTAGGTCGTGGGTTCAAACCCAACCCGGTGTCAGTCGATTTTTCGAATTTCTCATTAAATGTTTAGACATTTATTAATTTGGTTGGTCTTTACTATGGCTATGTTAATTCAAGCTCAATATGTACCTACTTTGTTAAGTTGTTCTAAGATCTAATGTAACGTTTAATAAATAGTAATAGGCTAATAGGTAATTGCGAGACTTGCGAGACTCTTGCTGCAAGACCAAGAACAAGACCAAGACTGGGAGCGCAATACCAAGACCAAGACCAAGACAAGGTGTATTGGCGCAAGACCAAGACCAAGACTTGCTAAGTCTCGTCTTGTTCTTGCATTTGGGCAACACTAGCTGCATGACTATATTTGTGTTTTAATTTTATTTAACGTATAATTATATTATAATCATAAGTTTCTAAAATGCTTTTGAAGGGCTATGGAAGAACAGGAGTCTGCCTGAATTCATTTGGTCTGACCAGAGGCGGTATTATTTCGACAGCGCCCTAGGCTATTTTTTTATTATGTACGAGCATCTATGTAGGTCTAGAGAGACCAATATCACTGCGACCTAAAAGATCTATTGTGATCACTGCTATGTGTACAGTTCACTACTAAGCCCTACGTCCTCAATGAATGTGTGACGAATGTGTGTCTGTGAGTAATTTCACTTCTTCTGGGTGAAGCATATAGTTTCCCAGATGAGTGCTGCCTTTGCGCATTAAGAGTCCGCAATTTGTCAGGATGTATAAAGGCGTTCCCTCCTCTAGGGAGAAAAACCGGCACATCCTTGAGTTGCTTAGTCCCAGGATGGACATGTGCTCTTTAATGCCAGGGCTTCCGAAGCGAATTTATGATCGAAAGCCCGGATTAAGGTTTTTGAATGTTTTAAATCTGGTATATCAGGCCAGATCTTAACTGATTTGTTGTGGTAAAAAGTTTCCAGGGTCAATCGGGCGAGGCTTTTTGAGATTCCACAAAATGGCTTGGGTCCAAATTGTGTACTCTTTGAGACCTCCCGTGCGAGCTTGTCGGCAGTTTCATTGCCTACAATACCCGCATGACCTGGAACCCAACTTAACACTACTTTGTTATTACCTCCCAAGGCGGTGCACGCAGTCTCCAACTAGCTTCGAGTTCACCAAGTTTGATCTCAGCGCTAGCAGTGCTGCTTGACTATCAGTTAATATAGATTATATAGTTAACGTAGTGTTTTTGCAGATTGATTTCCGCACAGTGAAGTATGGCGGAAATTTCTGCCTGGAAGATAGAGGTGAATCTTTTTTTTATTTTTATTATTGATCCACCAACATTTGTATCATTCCTTACATGCTATTTAAATACAATGAACCAATAAGAACTAAAATGTACAAATAATTACAGGCGTATACCACATGCTAAAAACTATCTCAGCACTGTAACTTTATTTCTAGGGTAAAAAAAATTGATAATGATATACAGTAATAAAAATACATAGAGCGGAAGGAAAAGAAAATGTTTTATAGAATATTACAAGAAATGGTCTCTCTATCGATTGTTTCGCTAAAATGTTAACAATTTTACTCATTCTAGCATTTATCTTGGAGAATTGGAGCCAAACACTGTTCTACGATGAGGTCTAGTCAACGGTGTAATCTTACGAGCAAAACGCGGATAGCGATAGGGAACACACAAATTAAATTTACTTAAAATTTCAGAAATCTTCATACTAAGTTTGAATTTGGGTCTCTCTCCATAAACTCAAAAGCCTACATTGAGGTCCATTTTTAACCCATTGGTATACCACATAAGGCTACCAACATCACAGATAACCTGTCCATTCAGCCTTTTTGTTAAGTATATAGTGGACGCATGATATCTGAGATCATGCATAAAACCGTTGTTTCCTTGATTGTGCCGAGCATGGATCTCAATCTATAGGAAAGCAAGCTCAAACCGCCCTAAGCGTTAATCCTATACAAACTAGCCTTCGCCTCCTTGTCTAAGTAAAGATCAAAGGGTGTTAGGCCTAGAATTGCATTAAGAGCCGCTCCAGACAATGATCGCATCACTCCAGTCGCCATTAAGCAGGCAGTCCTTTGTAGACTATTAGGTCTGTCCGCAGTCGTGTTTTGGTTGGCCTTATTACACCAGACAGTGGAGGCGTAGGTAAGAATCGGCCTAACTATACTGCTGCACAGCCATAGGATCATACTGGGACGCAAGCCCAGGTGTTCCTGACCATGGGACTGCACATACCTAAAGTAATTTTTGCCTTATGACACACATTGCTAAGGTGAGAGGGCCCTAGGCTAGCACTTCATCATTGCCCTGTGGCGGCAACATATGATTAATTATTATTATTTATTTTGCATATAAAAATTTATTAACTTTATTATATCATAATTTATAATATAGTTTCAATGCAAAATAAGTAGGAGACATGTACCCTTAACAAGTGGGCTTGGATGAAAAATGTGACAAGTGTGGGTAATGTAGGAAGCTCTACATCTCTACATAGAAAGTATGATTTTTTAATTTATGTAACTAAGTAGGTATATATATAATGGTTTCTTATATTTACGCGAACACTACACATTTGAATAAAACTAGTTTTTACATTTTTGCCATGGGTAAATTTTTGTTTCAGAGAGCATGAGGGATCTGTGACAGTAAACACCTGGCCGCCAAGCTCAAACACACCAAGCAAGTTTTGAACAACAACAAGCTTTGGGTCCTTCACCTACGTCACAGTGAACGAGTGAAGCCAGACAAAGTCGAGTGAGTGCCTGCTGTACTGCCATATGTCAGAGGTGTTACTTGAAGCATGCTTCCATTAAAACACACTTCAAGCCGCCGAAGAAGTTTAGTCAGTTTTTACCATCAGTCAAGCGTAATGTCCCTCTGCAAGATACAGGAGTGTACAAGCTTGATTGTGAATGTGATCTCTCTTATATAGGACAAACTAAAAGATCAATAAAAACCTGCGTTGAAGAACACTTAGCCGATGTGAAGAATAGATGCTCTGGAAAGTCTGCAGTCTGTGAACATGTACAGGATCACTCCCGTCACTACATTTGATTTAATAGACCACAAATCCTCGCTAAAAAACATTGATTCCTACCAAGGATGATTCACAAAGCTATTGAAATTAATAAATATCTTAATTTCAAGAGAGAAGATGAATGGGCGCTGCTATCTGCTTGGGATCCTATAATTGATAAAATTAAACCAAAACCCAAGCACTGCAATACTTTAATATACTGTAAGCTCATTCTGCATAGATAGAATTCTTGCCAGGTTATCCCATACTTTTTATTTATTCTTTAAAAGTGAATTATATTATACCACATTCTGTATATATTATGTGTTTTACTGCCAAATCAAATATTTTATTAACTTAATGACAATATTATAACTATTTGAAACTCACTAAGTTAATGTACAATAAAGTCAAAGTTCTACTTTAGAATAAAGTTTACCAACTTTGTCTAAGAGTACAAGCAAAGACACAATATTTCAACTTACCGCTGCTTTCAAATCATTGTTTTCTTCCCATTTGCAACAGTTGTCATAATCTTTTTTCCATTGATTACAGTCTAGTGTCTCACCATACACAAAATATTGCTGGAATCTTCCTCGGAAGCTTGTGCACTCTTTGTACTCATCCTTGTATATGTCACATTCTCTTATCTAAGCAAAGAGTATTTTATAACAAAACATTTACATCACAGAAAAAATATTAGCTCTGATTGTAAAGGTTGTAAATAATTGCCTTGCTGACCTACTTTTAGTCCACTATATTCTATTGTTTGTTGGTTGCCTCGTGTACTTATCATAATATTATGTTTACTTAAATTTGTTTGTTCTAGTAAGGTAATTGTTCCAAAAAATTACAGTCAAATTAAAGTTGGTAAAAATTACTTCACGTACATCCGGGTCGACAGTGCTAGCTATGTTTTTAACAACTTTAATATAATGGACTTCCACAAAGTAATGCCTGATTCTATTAATTAAGTCAAATTGTTTGAATGATTTGCTTATCACTTATCAAATGGTCATTTGTCGTAAATTATTGGTGTTTAAATAAAATCATTCAAATAATCTTTAACTATCATTAAAATAATATGTGCAATTGCTTTATATACTAAGTAATTTTATCATTCGTCACTTAGAACCATATTTCTTGATTCCTTTTTCATATCCATTGAACACAACACATACTAATTATTCAGGGTTATTTTTATATTGACATTTATTTAACACACATACAATATGAAGTCTCTTTTGGAACACCACCATATTATATTGCAAATGCAGGTGGAAGTTTGTACCAATTATAGGCATAGAGAATGGTTAAAAATAACCATTCAAAATTTACCACTTCCAAAAAAAAAGACAATGCAATTGTGCTGCCAATACCCCTTTTTTATTTAGATCTCTATTGACCTACAGAAAAGAGACAACTACTGGAATCACAATCATTTTGTCTCATATTACAATTTTCAGCCTGTATTTACTTTAAATATGGAAACACTCAGCTCAGTTCATTATGCAAATTTGTAATTGACACAGTATATTTTCGATTGAATTATTGTGATGAATTGGATAAATTACTCACTATCTCTCACCACTCATTACGTATCTCTAGTTGGCCTACTTGAGGTACATGTTAAATAGAGGAATAATATATCCATAAAAGCACTATTTTATTTTTGAACAAAACAAAGGGGATAGTTCCATAACTAATTAATACACTTGAGTATATGTATCCATATACTAAGTGTATCTTGCGGTATGAGAAGGGAGGTGAAGGGAAGAGATGGGACCCTTACTATGCTTTTTCCCCCAAACTCAATCTCAGATAAACATTCCTCAACACTTTAACTAATAATTTCTTGAAAACTACACTTTGTCGCATAAAAAGCCAACAAAGGGCGTGCATCAGAACATTATTTTACATCGAATCAGACCAAATCACCCACAAAATCGTACCGTAAGATATTTATAACCCTAATTAACCTCAAAATATAAAAATAACTTCTTGTCAACTACATATTTCCGCATAAAAAGCCGCTAAGGTCTCATATCAAAGCATTATTGTACATCAATTATGTTCAAAATCACTAACAAAATCATGCCGCACTAAAGGCAACCCTAATTTAGTTACTAGGAAAAAAACAAACCATCCATTTGTCTTCAGGTTCAGTTTTTGCCGATGATTCCTCAAGCTCTGAAGACTGGGAAGTATTATTATCAGCTTGCTTATTTTGTTTTTCCGATTCAGACATAATTTAATTCATAAACCAACCTTAATGTTTTTTCCCAAATTTAAAGGTTACTCTAATTGGATTTGCTTATTAACATAATATATATATTAACTCTTTATAATTTGTAAAAAGCACTAAACTATTTCGCACGGGAACTATGAATAGTATAGTAAAGTTAATGTATATGAAGAATATAATTTAATCAATTTCTTAATGTTTATGTAATACATGAAAATAACCTACTTTAATACTTTTTGTGCTGTCAAGTGTCAAATGTCAATCTTTGAGCATAGAAAATAGAGGAGCCGCCTATATATTTTATTCACAGAACACTATTACTCCTACGGATTTTATTGGTTATACCGTAGATAGAGGATTGACAAAGTCTATGGGTTATACAAATATGGTTATATTCGACATTGAACTGGCAATATGCTGCCTATCTCTTTTTCACCCGGGTAGTGTAAGTCTAAGTGTCATTCATAAATGAAACAGATAATAGAAATTGTTTCGTATTCTCGTAAACATTTTTAAGATGACGTCATTTAACCCCGCCTTGCGGCCGATTCCGCCATTTATTGTTTCAGATTTGCTGTTATAAAAAGTCGTTTAATATTTATTAATTTGAAAATTTTGCGAATTTTTAAACAGTTTATAGTGAATTTTCCAATTCATTATAAAGTACGAAGATGACTAAGTGTTGTGTAAGAGGCTGTGCCTCAAAATATAGTCAAAAATCACGCGAACTATCATTTCATATGTGAGTGATTTAGTTTTTGCTGTAAAAATAATGTAAAAATGTTTATATCTTTGGTGACAGTAAGTAGATGGATGTAATTATTCACCCTAAACATTTAATTCGTATTATTTAATTACTTCTTATCATTCTTTGCGTATCTATAAAATTTTGTTAATCGTAAATAGTGATGTTACATTGCTAACAATAAATTCTTTCAAGAACATACTTTATTAAGGTTTTTCTTGAGTCTGAGCAGTAAGCATGAATGATTAACTAAATTATACGGAAACGGAGTTACCTTCATGTTAGGTAGGACATACGGTACCTACATAATAAAAATTAAGCAAAGCAACAAAGATTACATAAAGTACAATCTAGCGCCTGTAAGTAATCTCTCTGTAGGCAAACATGCAAATACCTCAGAGACTATGGACATTATTACTTGACTTTATTATATATTGTTTAGTTATATATTATATATATTGGGCCATCCGTGCCTTCAAATAATGCAATATACATAAATATTAAGCATATTTTTATCTATAATTTACCTTAAGTCACCTTTTATAACAACCATGGTTTTGTTTAATTTGTAATATTATTTGCAGCTTCATAGATCTAAATCATTATTTTCTGTTCTATCATTTTTAGGTTGCCAAAGAAGAAAGTCGTTTAATAACGTAATATATATATATATATATATATATATATATATATATATATATATATATATATATATATTTCATAAGTACCTTATAAAAATATTACGTTATTAAACTGCTTTCTATTACTAACAAAAATTTAAATTTATTTATTTTCCTACTCCATCCATCCATCCATTACATTCTAAGAGTTCATTGCTGTACCTAGGTCTCTATAGATTGCCTCATAGGGCATTTTGCCACAGCTACCACTCTTGGCAGGCGGCTTAGCATCCGCAGATTTTTATTATTTGATTTTGTTGCGAAAATCCATTAATCACCCATGCTAAACCGGGTGGATATAAAATAAAAAATATGTTACGGCAAATAATTTATTTGATATGATAATTTGTAACCACAAGTGCATCCTAAAGTATAATAATATTAAAATCACAGCTATTCCAAAGTAGTTTTTACTTCAAAAGATATTAGCTTAACCGGGGACACCAAACTGGTGCACAACCCAGAATAGTAGAAAAAAAATGTTGTGGGGTGCTACTAACTCAAAAAGAGAACTCCATCCTGTTTAACCATTCTGGCTTTAGATAGTAACTTATTAGCTAAGAAGTAAAGCTTATTCTGTATAATATGAAGTCAGAGCAACTAGCTTGCTAACTTACTACTTACAAGCACGAGTTGCTATTCGTGCATTAAGTATCAAAATGTCTTCAAACTATTATTTAAGCGATAAAACTGCAGCAATCATCTGACGGATAAATTCACGCAAAATTCCCCTAGCCTCCCTAATCGTTAGAGAAAATATAATTTTGCATATTTAAAAATAAATAAAAATACATATGTGTTACTAAATTTTAAAAGTTGATTCACTTTACATCACTAAAAAATGGGCAGAGCTTACGGCGTCCGCCATTCATTGTTTCAATTTGACACTTTTTTTTGTAGGCTTGCCAACTCCTCTATTTTCTATGCTCAAAGGGCTCAGGACCATAGAGATATATACCTATGGAGAGGGCATATTCCATTTCCATGAAATAATAGTTATACAAATATCTATAATATCGACACACACTTGTCAAAAACAGTTTTGTCTCTTTTAACAAAGCAGTAGCTGCAATAGAAAAGAGAGACAACTAGAGTTTGTAAAGTGCTTATTTTGGTAATACTTTCGTGTGACGTCATTAGCTTATCCATGTGTGACTGCGCCGCCATGTTGAGCGCCAAGTTTTCTGGTAGATCCACTGACTTAAGCCGCCTACTGACCTGCCTGCCGCAGGGGCGATCTAGGGAGCACAGCGATCGGAGCAATATCGGAGCTATCTCTACACACACGCCTGCCGTTCAGTATGAGAGTGTACGTCTCGCTGGACGCACGTGTTGGGAATGGCGCCAGCTTTAACGAAATATCAATGAATCAGTATATATAGCCTTGGCTCTTTTTTATATAGAATAAGGGTGACAAATGAGCACAGTCCACATGATGGTAAGTGGACACTGTGGCCTATAGACACCCACATTTATCAGTAAAACAACCAATTAATTAATAATTGCAACCATAATATAGTGCTTAGAAGCTGCAGCATAGCTCTGCCACGCTATTTTTTGGCTATCAAAGACAATGAATTATGACTAACTTTACTCGTCATAATTTAATATAACCAATTTATTCTGTGATATAACTTAACTATCTAGTGCTTAGTAACTATAATTTAACTAGTGTTACAAATAGACAAGATAGTTTTCTAATGATGGTTTCAATAATATTTAATTACTAAAATTTGTATTTTTGTTTAAATATTTATATAATGACATTTTAATTATATTCCAGCAAATTCATACTTGCATCGTCGGCAGCCGAGTTGCAAATGATGGTTACATTAACGAACAGGACATTAAAATAAAAGGGAATGAAAGTGAACGCAAGTAAGACGAAAGTTATGGTTTTTGAAAGAGAAGACAGCAAAACGATATGTGAAATAAGAATAGAAGGGGAGTTGGTAGAGCAAGTAGATGAGTTTGTATATTTGGGATGTGTGTTTAGTAGGGATGGTAGATATGATAAGGATATAGAACGACGAGTGAATGCAGGAAATAGAGTGAATGGGGCTCTACACTCTATTGTGAAAAGTCAGAATGTGTCCAAAAAAGCACGTATGGCAATTCACAATGCTGTGTTAGTACCTACTTTAATGTATGGTAGTGAAAGTTGGGTGTGGCAGAAGAAGCGTGAGAGTAGAATAAATGCTGTAGAAATGCGGTCATTAAGGAGTATGTTAGGGATGAAGCTGAATGACAGAGTGAGAAATTGTTTGATAAGAGAAGAGTGTGGTTTGCAAGATGATGTTGTGACCAGGATTAAGAAAGGAATGCTTCGATGGTTTGCCCATGTAGAAAGAATGAATGAGTCAAATCTATGTTGCAGAGGTGAACGGCATAGTCGGGAAGGGTTGCCCTAGGCGAAAGTTTATCGACCAAATTGGCGATATATTAAAAATGTGCCATATCAAGAGTACCTTTGACCGACGAGCGTGTATGCGTAGGTATATGGATGTGGAGGAAGCGAGAGAGGTGTGTCAGGATCGTGCCAAATGGAAGTCCATAATCTCTGCCTACCCCTCTGGGTGACAGGCGTGAGTGTTTATGTTTATGTTCCAGCAAATTTTAATATTATTTGAATATTTGAATAAAAAAATTCAATATGATATTTGATATCCACCAGGACCGACCATGCTTGTATAACTTACCATTTGTGATCAATTATGTGCAGAACGTTCCTATATACCAATTAATAATAAATACTTAAATATTGATTTTTAAAACAGTTTATTTAATTTTTACTCAACTAATCATTATTATTTTATATTAAAAATACCATAATATGGGATTATATTTATAATATGGAATCAAGGATCTCCATACCTTTGTTTACAAGAAACAATATTCATTTTCCCACTACTCTGTCAATATTCATTTTTATTGTGTGCGTTATAACTTTTTATCTTTGTTCACATTGATATAAAACAAAACGTGTGTGTGTACTTATGTACGCACGTAAGAAGTTATACTTCTTTAGCGTATCAATACAAATATAATTAAAAACACGTTTTATACATTCATATATATGTAAATAACTACCTCGAATATAGTTATCAGTTCTCACGAAACTTTAAAATTGACAGACAATTACCAACTGAAGTTGTAAAAAACTCATATTAGTAAAAATATCGATAGAATAGAGTTAAAACCCTATAAAAGGTGGCTATTTAATGCGCCAGATTTGTTTAGGTCAGGGTGAGGCAACTTTGTATGAAAGCTGAAAAATCTGCACACAATCATGATATTGTCAATATGCGTGTTGGGCTTGTTAAAATAAAAGCGAGATAAAATATCGCTGTCTCTTTCTTTAATGTTGTTTTAGATTGCCATTTTAAAAATTAGATAATAAATTCATATTATATGGGAAGAAAATAAAAATGTTATTTCGGTGTGAAACTTTTATTGGTTTGCTCTTGAAAGTAAAATTACATACATATTACTCTGAGATTCGCACAATTAGTTTACCTATTAATTGATTTAAATAAAATTATTAAATAATAGTAGAATTTTATCAAAGGAAGTCATGA